TTTTAACTAAAGGCTTTATAATTAAACATTATTAACATTTTTTAATCTAAAATAGTTCTAGATGCACTTCAGATTAACTCTTTTCTCTTGGTTTGCTTTTGATATTTTGTTTAGGTACAGTGTTAGTTGCAGTTAACTGAACTGATGTCCGCTGCATTATTTTATGGTTTTTCTATGTTGACATAGTGCAAATATTTTTAATATATATCTTTTCTAATACATTTCAGTTGTTTTTTACTCACATAACTAAAATGAGAGACGTGTAATTCATTCCAAGGGACACACATGAGGGGGTCCACAGTATATTCTCTAACTTATAATTGGTCCTTGAGAACCAACTGAGAACTCTGGACTAAATTAATAAGAAATAATTAATCCTTTTATCAAGCAGATAATCAGCAGATTAATCTCTAATTAAAATAATGGTTAGTTCAGCTCTCTTTTTCAAACAGTGAGGAGAATTATGGCTGACAAGCTGCAATGAAACAATCAAAGGAGCTTCACCAATCTACATATCATAACTCTGTTTACAGGTGTTGGGCAGTACGACTGAAGAGCTTTTCAATTGGCAATTTTGGCTGCGCTGAGTCAAACCATGCTGTGGTGATTTGTGTGTCCATTACTAGGGTTGGGTACCGTTCATAATTGAACCGATACGGTACCGGTACCGGTATCTGGAATTTGGTACCAGTACCAAACAGTACCTTATTTCGGTACTTTTTAAAGTCTAAACTTCTCAGTTTCAACATTTTATTGAGAACATTTAGGAACAGTGTTCCATGTTAACTTTTGTCTACACATTTTTTTTGTCGCCATTGTTGCTGAGTCTGAGCGAGTCATGCGCTCTCGCTCCACCTCAGGAACCGAAATTTGGCACCGATTCATTTTAAGTGAATCGGTACTCGGTAGTACCGACGTGAATCGGTACCAAGTACCAAAAGTACCGAGTTTCGGTACCCAACTCTATCCATTACTGGTTTAAACACATCCAGTTGTGCCAAGTTCAACTTCAACTTTATTTATGTCCCCAAGGGGCAATTGATTTTGCAGCAAAGACTAAAACAGATGGGTACAGTACATACATACACATAAATAGCACATTCCCAAAAAACAGTGAGCACTAAATAAATAAACAGCAGTGGCCAAGTTCACAGCATGGCTCACCTCAATTGATATATCAAAAAAAAAGCAAGAACAAGAAATAGAAACATGAGAGTATAAATACACTGAATATAAAGTACAACATGTAACTCCTCCACAGCCAGGTAGGGGCTAGTTACCTCCCCTCTGGCCTGAATTAGTGAGTGAATTAGAAATCTATAAATTTCCATTGTTATGCGGATGATACACAGTTGTATTTATCGATGAAGCCAGAAGAAAGTAATCAATTAACTAAACTCCATAACTGCCTTAAAGACATAAAAACTTGGATGAGCAGCAATTTCCTGATGTTAAATTCAGACAAAACTGAAGTTATTGTTCTTGGCCCCAAACAATTCAGAGACTCTTTATCTGATGACATAGTTTCTCTAGATGGCATTGCTCTGGCCTCTAGCACTACTGTAAGAAACCTCGGAGTAATATTTGATCAAGATTTGTCTTTTAATTCTCATTTAAAACAAACCTCACGGACTGCATTTTTTCATCTGTGTAATATTGCGAAAATTAGGCCTATCCTGACCCGAAAAGATGCAAAAAAATTGGTCCACGCTTTTGTTACCTCTAGGCTGGATTACTGTAACACTCTATTATCTGGTAGCTCTAGTAAGTCCTTAAAAACTCTCCAGCTAATTCAGAATGCAGCAGCACGTGTACTAACAGGAACTAAGAAACAAGATCATATTTCTCCTGTTTTAGCTTCTCTGCACTGGCTCCCTGTAAAATCCAGAATTGAATTTAAAATCCTACTGTTAACTTATAAAGCTCTAAATGGTCAAGCTCCATCATATCTTAGTGAGCTCATAGTGCCATATTATCCCACCAGAACACTGCGCTCTGAGAACGCAGGGTTACTCGTGGTCCCTAAAGTCTCCAAAAGTAGATCAGGAGCCAGAGCCTTCAGCTATCAGGCTCCTCTCCTGTGGACATGGATTACTGTTAATTTATTATGCTGATCTGTTCTGTACGACACCTATTGCACATCTGTCCGTCCTGGAAGAGGGATCCCTCCTCAGTTGCTCTTCCTGAGGTTTCTACCGTTTTTTTTCCCCGTTAAAGGGTTTTTTTTGGGGAGTTTTTCCTTATCCACTGTGAGGGTCATAAGGACAGAGGGATGTCGTATGCTGTAAAGCCCTGTGAGGCAAATTGTGACTTGTGATATTGGGCTTTATAAATAAAATTGATTGATTGATTGAATTAAGGATGACGAAAAATCCACGAATAACAATCGGGCATGTGTTTTGCTACTTTCCAAATGTTTAAAAACAAGGTTTAAAAGTGTGGCAGTGGCGTCTTCCACCCCACGACCCGCTGTATATGCAAACTGCAGTGGGTTAAGCAGAGGCTCTAAATGGGGGAGAAGTTCTTCTTTCATCAGTCTTTCAAAGGATTTTGAAAGTTCCTGGGGCAAATACGGGGGACGCAGAGACACAGCCAACAGTTCAACATCTTTAGTACAGAGTCTTTCTCTTACCAGAACATTTTTGCACCATCGCTGATTTACATAGAGGCACACTCCTCCACCCTGTGATTTGCCCGTAACACTTGCGTCATGGTCAAGGTGGACCGGAGCACCAAATCCATCCAGGGAAAGATCTGCATCCGAGTCTTGATCCGTAAGCCATGATTCCGTAATGGCCAAAAGACATGCATCCCTGAAATCATGTTGGAATCTTACAAGGGCTTGCAGCTCATCAACTTTATTCCTTAGTGACTGTGCATTAGATCATAGACGGCAGCGGGATACAGGTGAGGGATAGCTTGCGCAGCCTTCGTCGAGCACCGCCCCTTCTGCCTCGCATCCTCGTTTTGCAAGGGAAAGCGCCGCTGAAGTTTCCATAAGACTTTGTTATCTCTCCACAAGAATCCCCGCATTGCGAAATAAGATCCAGGGGAGGGTTGGCCGGTGGAGGATTTCTCCACTGAAGAAGAAACTCCCTGCTGTACTGGATCCGAGGGGTCTGGAGACCTTGGGCGAGGAAAAACGCCATCCACAGCAGAAACACCACTGCAAGCTCCATTGCTTTCCAGACAACACAAAAAGTCGCAACCAACTGGCCAAGTTGTTGATTACTCACTGTTGTAGATTGCTCACTTTAAAAAGGTACATGAGTGCTACACAACACTACACACAGACACAAAACGCGGACATGACTTGTCTTGCTGCCAGTCGCCGCACGAGCAGCGCCATGACCTACAACCAAGTTGCACCCAAGATGGACCATCTCAGAGTCGGGTCAAAGCGCGCCCAACCACCTTTAAGCAGGTTGCAGTGACATCAGACAGGCTTCGTCAACTTAAAGCGTCAACATTCTCCATTTTTCAAGCAATAAGCAGTAAATGCCAAAAAAAATCATAACAACAGCCTTAAAATTCACACTGATAAGAAGCTGGTGACCAACAACTGTTGCACAGTGCAATAGTTAACAGAGCTTGAGAGGGTGCAGATTGAAGGCAGTGCATCATCAGCTAAAGACACACTTTAAAACAGGTAGCCATGTTGTTTGGAGATGCAAATCGCTGACGTGCCAAGTTAAACTGGGTCAAACTGAATCAAGCCAAGCCAGCACATCATAGGAAGTTGGATAAAGCCCTTTGTGGCTTCAAAAGGAAGCTGTTTAAAATCTGATAAATTGCCTCAAGTGATGCCATGAGTCAGTGTCAGTTGGGTTTGAAGACGTTTGAAAATTATTTTTTTTAAATTAAATTGCTGATGTGGAGTTAGGAAGAACTGAGTTTCCCCGACCTCTGTAGCATACTTCTCATCTTTGCTTGAGGCTATTAGCATGAGGCTAATTTAGCCACTACTAGCATAACCACAGATGTATAAAGAAAAAGGGATACAGCGTTGGAGGCAGGGTCTCATTCATTTGTATGAAAGTTGCTCAAAATTGCTTAGAGTTGCTCAAAAGTTGCATGGCACATGAAGCCAGAAAAGCATGATTTCTGCAGTATGAAATGACTCAAATCTTCCGCATCTTGCCTTATTGCTCAATCCAAATCTCTGTCAAAATGTGCCATTTTCAGCATGTAAGTTGCTAGCTCTGAGAATGTTGTTGTTTCCCATAGCTAAGGGGATTTTGAAACTGCAACATGCAAAAAGCAAAATTAAGGGAGAATGCCGAAATCAGCCGCCCAGTGTCAGGGTTATAGCCACAGTCTACATCCGGTGAGTCAGACGAGCCCTCCACTAACTTTACTAAGCATAGAATTTATTTAATTTTTAATTTTCAGCTCTTCTAGACTTTCGAAATGTTATCAGACCGCATGGATTGAATCCTGATAGTGGAACGAGTCATTTCACAGGGGCTATGACGCTCAAAGATACCAATCCACTGATTTACAGACGTGTCTTTCCCATTGTAAGTCTATGGAAACAACCATTTCGGGCCCCGTGGCATCACGTGATGGACCCAGACATTGTAATTCCATATTTGGCCACTATGTAAGATTGGCTTCAAAGACTAGCACTGCTCTGTAAATCTCAGAATGATCTGTTAGGTGTAAAATTGCATTGTGGGTAATGTATGTGCCAGGTTTTGACAGGGGAGCAGAATTCAAGGAGGAAACAAAATATCTCTGGCTCTGCTGCATCGCCTTAAATATTTTGTTTTTGCTGTCTAACACAAGTCCGACAACGTCACGAGTGCAATGCTAATCCAGTGAAATTAACCTCTTTAAATATGACATGCTGCTGAAACACCGTACAGAACGGTGCACCTACTTCCACTCAAAGTCAGCCCTTAACGACTGCCAAGCACCTGGCAACACACACGACAGCCTCTCCAATCAAGTCAATCATGACCTGATTGTCTCAAGCGCCTCATTTAAAGTCCACTCACCAAGTCTTTGGATGTGCCCAGTCTCTTCAGCCCGTCCAGGGGCAGGAGGTCAGCCGAGTCCTTGTGCGTGAACTGCGTGGCCTGCTTGAGACGCCTCTGCTGGTGCAGGATGGCTTTATCCCGGATGGCTAGCTCACCTTTCTTCGCATCACTCATGGTCTCTGGACTGTAAAGCAGTCTTTTTCGGAGACTATAACCTCACAGCAGCAGCAGCAGCAGCAGCAGCACTGGGAGCTTTCTGCGGACAGAGACACACTGGATATCTGAGGCAGCTTATTAGGGATTGCTCTTTAGGTCCTTTTTAAGCAACAAAATAAACCTGCAAATTTTGCCTCTTCCACCCTGTGTTGCCCTTTCTGAAATGTCCTTCCCTCTGGGCTTGCTGTTTGCTGAGTGTAGTCCTTGGCATGTATTTGTCTCAGCAGATTTAGGTGCTATTGTCCTGTCCTGGATGTTCCTCTGATGTAGACATGCATCTTCCTCACAATGTCAAGATCTGTTCTGTCTCTCTTACAGAGGCTGAGTGAGGCTGAGGGGTAGGTGTGACTGAGAGTGTGTTATTTCCCCTCCCCTCAGTGCCGTCTGTCCTTGGATCTCTCTCGCTCTCTCTTTCTCTCTGTTACACTCATATCTCTGCTTTCAGGAGTGTATTCTCTCTCTCTCTCTCTCTCTTTCTCTCTCTCTCCTCTCAGCCCTCCTCTTTCCGTCACACACTAAACAGACGCATGCTCACCTCCTGATACAGAGCACATTTATCAGTTGACTCTCAGCTGAGGAAACAAAGACAAAGACAGTTAATCTGTGAAAACACTGTCATCATGCAGCTACAATTTAACATCTCTGCATTGTTTAGTCTTTAAAGTGATGCTGCAACACACACACACACTGCGCCTGTCACTCTGTATCTTGTTCCTAAGCCCATCACAGTTTGCAGGATTAATTCTCTGAGCAGTGATTGGCCTCGGCGACCCCTACTGTGGAGGTGTGAGAGACATCACTGTGGTCTGACCCCACACAGAGGATCAATCTGGTCCACTGATGGCAACAATTGATTTCCTCTGCCGCCGCAAATTAAAGAAACTCAATTTCAAACCATCCATCCATCTTTCCATCTCTCCGCACCAACAAAAGCTAAAAATATCACACCCACCCTGACCTCTACACGATGACACATTTTTAAAATCACAATGATTCAGGCTACAGGTTTGAAGGGTTTCATGTGAAACAGGAAACTTAGATAAATGTTTTTGTTTTTTTTTAATTCAGAAAAAGCATATCATAAAAAGACACAGACAAAATGTAAGACAGTATAATTGGTTTCAAATATATGCTATTTATTTGAAGGAAGGAGTCCTTGAGAAGGTGAAGTGAAAAATACTGAATGCCTGCTGAGATACTTCATGTTGAAAAAGCATGTGCTGCCCCCTGCTGGTCACCCCTGTGCTGTTTTTTGTGATGGGTGGTCTGTAGTCTTTTCTGACTTTTTTTTTTTTTAGCGATTTTTTTAATACATTTGGTGGGTGAAATCAAGGTGAAAAATATCTGTTAATGTATTCATTAATTATATATATTTATATATATTAGTAAATTAATCAGTTCAAATTTTTCTTTTTTCTTTTAATTTAATTTATTTTCTTCAATTTATTGTTTCATTTTTTGTTGATTTATTTTTTAGAAAAAAAAACTTTAACTTTTTTTTTTTTTTTTTTCACCTGTGTGGACATTTTTAAAAGAAACCTTAAGACATTTCTTTTTAACTTGGCTTTTACTTACTTGTCATTTTTTGCCTACGTTTTTAAGTCTTATAATAATACATTAGATTTATATAGTGCTTGTCAGGATACTCAAAGACGCTTTAGAGAGAATAACAAAATCTCAATCACAAAAAAATCCATAGGCAGGGAAATGACACAGAGAGGGCGAAGTACACTGAATTTATAGCTTGTAGCCAGTGTTGAAAAGGTGTATGTTGAGGGTTTTCTTGAAGGTGGAGAGTGAGGAGGAGTCTCTGATGTCTTTAGGGAGTGAGTTCCAGAGGGTGGGTGCAGCAATGGAAAAGGCCCTGTCCCCCCAGGTGTGGTGGTTGGTCCTGGTGGAGGGGGGCAGGAGGTTGGCATCAGCAGACCTAAGAGTGCGAGAGGGAGTGTGTACGTGGAGGAGCTCAAACAGGTAGTGGATACGCTGGGGGGGATGGGGAGCCAGTGGTGGTTATGAAGGACGGGGTGATGTGGTCATGGGTGTGAGAGTGTGTGAGGAGACGAGCAGCTGAGTTCTGGATATACTGAAGTTTCTTGAGAGTTCTGGATGATGATCCGTAGAGGAGACTACTGCAGTTGTCAGGTCTGGAAGTGATGAATATGTGAATGAAAGTCTCTAGAGCTGTAAAGGAGAGGGATGGACGGAGGTGGGCGATGTTTCTAAGAAGGAAGAAGGCTGTCTTGGTGATGTGTTTGATATGTCTACACCTTAGTTTTTAGGTCTTATCTTTGGTCGTTTCTACTATTTTTAACCCTTGTGTCTATTTTTCTTTTAAACATTTTATTGTATATTGTTGTCTCTTTTTTTATCTTGCTCTGTGAAGTACTTTGGGCTGCATGATTGTATGAAGGGTGCTATAAATAAAGTTGTCCTTATTCAGATTCTGTCAGACATGCTAAATTTAGGCTGCATTTCATAGCATTCGGCGGACATATGCAGCCCAGTGGAGTACGGTAGTTACCACGGGCCCCAGTGCATGCTATTGCGACGGGTCTTGGTGCACACTAGTTACAAGTTAGAGACTAGATGCACACTACTGCCAGCTGTTTATAAATAAGCCAAAGGAATCTAACTTAGGGAGCTTTGCTTATTTTTCCTCCTGTTCGTTTCTCTCCAGTCCTCTCTGTCCATTCTTACTGCTGCTTTTCTGTTTAAAAGGTATAAAGGATGGTGGTGTGTCTTCCTCAAGCTCAGGTCCTCTACCAGAGTCCTGGGAGTTTGAGGGTTCTGCTCAGCATCTTAGCTGTTCCTAGGACTGCACTCCTCTGGACAGAGACCTCAGATGTTGTACTGGAATCTGCTGGAGCCACTCTCCCAGTTTGAGGGTCACACCTCCAGTGCTCTGATCACCACTGGCACCACTGTTGCCTTTCCTCCCCACATCTTTTCTAGCTCCTCTTTCAGCCCTTGGTATTTTTTGAGCTGCTCGTGTACCTTCTTCCTGATGTTGCTCTCACTCTATCACCACTGTCTTCTTCTGTTGTTTGGGCGATCAACACAATGTTCGCTTGGTCAGTCTGGAGCTGGAAGTCCCCCAGGATCTTAGCTCGGTCGTTCTCAACCACCTTAGGAGGTGTCTTCCATTCTGACCTGGGGACTTCCAGCCCATACTCAGTGCAGATGTTTCTGTACACTATGCCAGCCACTTGGTTATGGCGTCTCATGTACGCTCTTCCTGCCTGCATCTTACACCCTGCTGTTATGTGCTGAACTGTCTAAGGAGCATCTTGGCAAAGCCTGCACCTGGGGTCCTGTCTGCTGTGGTAGACCCCTGCTTTCTGTTCTTGTGCTGCCGTGATTAGTGATTCTGTCTTTCTGTCCGGCCTTTTCCAGCCACTGGTAGGATTCCTTGATGTCAGCCACTTCTTCAGTCTGTTGGTGGTACATGCCGTGCAGGGGCTTGTCTTTCCATGATGGTTCGTCCTCCTCTTCTGCTGCCTGAGGTATCCACTCAGCAGCTCATCTGTGGGAGCCATCTTCCTGATGTATCCCTGGATCTTGGTTGTTTTGTCCTGGACAGTGGCTCTGATGCTAACCCTCCATGCATTGTGAGAAGCTTCCTCTTTCCTATCTCCTCCTTTGGCCAGCTTATTATACCAGCAAGGTATCTAATGACTGGCAGGGCGTACTTGTCGATGGCTCTGACCTTGTTCTTTCCATTCAGCCAACTTTCCAGGACCTGCCTTTACTCTGTGTAGGTATTTGGCTGTAGCTGACTTCCTTGCGGCCTCCTCATGGTTCCCATTTGCCTGTGGGACCCAAAGATATTTATAGCTGTCCTGAACATCTGCAATGATTCCCTCTGGTAGCTCAACCCTCTCAGTTCTGATCGTCTTCCCTCTCTTTGACATCATCCGACCACACTTATCTAGTATGAATGACATTTTGATGTATTGCCTGCAGATCCTTGTGGGGTGGATCAGTGAGTGGATGTCTCGCTCACTCCTGGCGTACAGATTGATCCATGTAGAGGAGGTGACTGATGGTTGCCCCACTTCGGAAGTGGAATCCGTAGCCACTCTTTCTGATAAGTTGGCTGAGGGGTCTAAGCCTATGCAGAACAGCAGCAGGGACAGTGTATCACCTTGGTATATGCCGCACTTGATGGTAACTTGTGCAATTGGCTTTGAGTTGGCCTCCAGAGTCGTTTTCCACTGTCTATATTTACACCCCTGATGCAGCCCCCCATTTTTTTTGCAGGGATGATAACATGAGCATTCATCCCCAAAAATAAACACATGAAAGAAGTGGAAAACTTTTACTTTGAAACAATTTAAAATATTTACACACTAATCTGAAGCAGATAAAGCAAAAAAAAAAAAACATCATGGGTCAATGGGCCACCAGAATGGAGGAAATTAATTTTTTACATTGTCCTCTCCTTGATGCTAACAATGACATAAATATTCCCAAGAGAGAAATATGTTAGGGTCTATTCGATGATTTTGGTCACGTGGGATGGTATTTATGGGAGGTGACGACATTATTCGTCATCACTTAATCATTTAAGTCATTTTTTAAAAATGTTTTTATTAAAAATGTCAATTATTCACTCGTTTTGAAGATTGAGGACGAAGTTTCACAGTTTTATATTACTATACATTTTTAAACCTTTGGGTTTTTGACTGTTGGTCAGTCAAAATGTGCAATTTTCAAAGTCATCATGGAATCTAGGACATTGTGGTGAATATTTTGTAGTATTTTCTGACTTCTTTGCCATTTAAAAATGTCTTTATGTACATTTGATGGACTAAATCATGGTGAAAAACATCTGTTGATTTTTTTTCTTATTTTTTTTTACATTTATTGTTACATTTTTTGTTGATTTACTTTTGGAGCTTTAATCCTCTGGCGCTGCAGATAATAGTGGTGTACAAAATAACAGCCATGCTTTGAAGTATTTTTTTTTAGCTCTGTTATCTCAAGATCATGAGGTAATTATTTCGTTATCTGGAGAAAACGAGTATTAATTATCTCAAGAAAATTAGCTTTGTGATCTCATGATAACAAGAACAAACTTCAGAGACACAAGCAGAATGTGGAGAAATGAAAATAACTTCAAAGAGAAACACAGTGCACCAGACCCCTGAACACTGTCTTTATTATCATGACCTAAACTCCCAAACTGTCAAACAATAAGTAATGCAGAGAAAATCTCAAATCCACTAAACCAAACATTAAAAGTGCTGCATTTACCCAAAACTTTCAGTTTCACAAATAAATGTTAATTTGAGGCTCATTCGTGTGTCTGCAAACCCACAATATTTAATCAAGGAACTGAGACGTACCTCAGTGAAAAAACAAAATCTGCTTCAGCAGAGAGAAGAAATAAATTCAAACACAGCAGTTTTGGTCAGTTGCTGGCAATGTAA